TGGCCCCAGGTCATGGGCATGACCACTAAAACTGCACCGTGCTAGGGTAGGGAGACCTGGTGGGACTGCTGGTGGTACAGCAGCCCCGTAAATGCCAGGACCAACAATCCCCTGGTGAAGGTGGGTAGGAGGCACTGTAACCTCCAGCTAATGCATGCACACACACAGTCCTTGCTAGGGAAAGCCCAGACCTGTCACATATTTGACAGGTCTGAGGCTTGCTGGTTGCAGTGGAGTTGTGAGGCTTCAGGTGAGTTCAGCTTAGCTTCCTGGGATGCCAGCTTTTGCATTGAAAAGCCCTTTGTCAGGCTGAGGAAGCATCTGCAGTTGGTGTATCTCCTGGTCCTGGGTGGAAGGAATAGTAAAAAAGCCAGAGGCTGGCCTGGCACGCAATGCAGGCAAGAAAACCAGTTAGTAAAAATGGAAATGGAGGCATCTAGGGGTGAGGGACAGACTAGGATGGGGAGGGAGGGGAAGGGAAGGAAGATGTAGCAGCGCAGGTAAAATTGCAGAGGTACCTGGGGAGTCAGATGTCTGGCAGGTTGCAATGTGTCAGAATTCCACTGGCTAGTCTATATTGAGTCCATGAGTTTCTGTACCTAGGAAGCTGATGAAGTTAAGTTCATAGGCCCGGCTGTGAAAAATGTTTTGTAATTTGTTCCCTGTCAGGATCAGGCCTGAGAGACTGGAGGCAGAGTGTTTTTTTGTTGAGGAATTTGCCCCCACAGGTAGTTGGGTATTGTTGTGTTTGATAGATTCTGGTGTGCAGTTTGTGGGGGTACAGGAGATGGTTGGCAGGTTTTGTGTTTTGAGCTGTAGAAAGTTGGCTTCAGTTCTGGTGATGAGGTTTGGTGCTTGTTTGAATGTACAAACCACTTTTCAGAGCTGGGCCTATGAACTGCACTTCAGCAGCCTCCTAGGTTGTGGCTGCCTATAAATTCATCATGGGGGCACAGAAGGGAATTGGTGAGGCTCTACTCACCAAGGCACCCCTGGGGGTCACAAGAAATAATGGCCATAAGCTAGCAGAGAGCAGATTTAGACTGGACATTAGGAGGAACTTCTTCACAGTTAGAGTGGCCAAGGTCTGGAATGGGCTCCCAAGGGAAGTGGTGCTCTCCCCTATTCTGGGGGTCTTCAAGAGGAGATTGGATGGGCATCTGGCTGGGGTCATCTGAACCCAGCACTCTTTCCTGTCTACGCAGGGGGTCGGACTCGATGATCTATTGAGGTCCCTTCCGACCCTAACATCTATGAATCTGGGTAGTAGGTACAGAAACTCATGGACTCAAAATACACTGTGGAATTCTGACACCCTCGCCCCTTTTTTCCACACAATCTCTCCTGTACAGGGTATAGCAATCTATACCTGTGGCCCAGTCATAGGTGGAGTCCCACCAGATCTCCATTATCCCTATGAGATCGTAGTCATTCTTGTTTAACAGAAGGATCAGTTCCTTCTGTTTGTTCCCCAAGCTCCTGGCATTGGTGTGCAAGCACGTAAGTGTCCCATTTGAAGCCATAGTATTCCCTGCAGTCCCAGGAGGACATCGTTCCAGGGCTGGGGTAGGGGTGGATTCCCCTGTGTGCCTTAGCCTGCTCGTTTTGCAGAAGTTACCCAGTGGGCTTGCTGTGGCGGTAGTCCCCTCCCACCCCCAGTAGGCTTAGTTTAAAGCCCAGCTGAGCAGGTAAGCCATTCTGGCTAAGAGCTTCCTCCCAGTGAAGTGAGGTGGAGGCCATCTCTTTCCAGCAGACCACTGCCTCTCTCACCAAAGAGTGGACTGTGATCATGGAAGCCAAAGCCTTCATGATGACACCAGCGCCACAGCCTTCAGTTGACTACCTCAGTCTTCCTCTCCCTCAGCCCATGACCCAAAACTGGGAGGATCGAGGAAAACACCACCTACACCCCCAACCCCATAAGTCCTTCTCCCAAAGCCCTGTAGCTACTCATGACATGGCCAGGATTGGTCCAAGCCGTGTCATTCATGCCCACATGGATAAGGGGCATAGGGTAGTGGTCAGTGGGCTGGATGAGCTTTGGGATCCTCTCTGCTTTGTCCCGGATATGGGCTCCTGGGAGGCAGGATTGCTCCCAGGCTAAGGGGTTGGGGTGGCAGATTTTTCCCTCAGTCCCCCTCAGGAGGGTGTCTCCCACAATGACCACTCTGTGCGTGGCCTTAGGGAGAGCAGAGATGGTAGCTGTGTGTGATCCTCCCTTGCCTGCAGGAGCTGGCAGCTCTGCAGTCTTTACTGAGGGTGCAAGAGGCTCATACCTGTTGCAAAGCTCCAGAGGGGAGGGGACCTTGGTGCAACAGGCCTTGGGGCCGTTGACCACCTTGGTCCAACCCCCTGGCTGGACAGTTTTGGGAGATCCTCAAGTCCTCCCTTGTCCTGGAAGGTGACCTTGGTCTACCCTCGGCCTCCATGGGGTGAAGGGCCTAGCAGTAGGAGTCTTTCTCCTGCTCACCATCCCTGATAGTGCACAGTCTCTGGACTGCGGCCTGGAGCTCCTCTATATGGTGCCTCAGAGACTCAAAAGTGGAGCAGACCTCACAAGGGGAGGTGGCCATGCTCCCAGTCCCATGTGCGTGGAGCCCAGAACCATGGGTTCCATCTGGGTGGAGGCCTCTGAGGTGCCAGAGGGGGAGGTCTCAGATGCCTCAGGTGTCCTCGGGGTACAGTGTGTGGCCATCTGCTTTGTACTGATGGTAGTCTGACTACTGCTGTGACTACCTTCCCTTGGGGCTCACTGGCAGGGCTTTGGGCCCTCCCACTCACCCTTCTTCATGAACTCCCATGCTAACTCATGCACCAGGCCTAGAAGTGTGTCTATTTGAGCGTCATGTTCGCAAGGCTCTGGTTGTGTGGCTCCCTGGGGGGCTGGGCGAAGTAGGAGCTGGGGGTGGGGGGGCGTGACCCTCCTTGGCTTCACTCTTCTGCCCTGCAGCTGGCTAGGTCCCTCCCCCACTGCGGGTCCCACCTACCTCCAGCTGCTCTGGGGGCCTGGGTCAGGGTTCTGCTGGGGGGTCCTGGGCTCAACGGAGGTGCAACGGGCTTCTGCCCATGCATCTTTTGCTGGAGCCAGGGATAATCTGTGGCCTTACCATTGGCGGGCACTTTTTAAATTGTGCGCATGCACAGAAGGGCTTGCCGATGGCACCATGCCACTCTCAGGTCTGGGGGTCCCTGTCCCACAGAAGAAGAGGACAGGTAAGTGCCCCCCCTTCCCCTGTCTCATGCACCAGGCAGCACTGGGCGCATGGCTCCCTAGGGGGCCTGGGCCAAATAGGAGCCAGGGGGCACATGACCCTCCTCAGCTCCACTCAGCTAGGTAAATCTGAACAGTATGAGCAATCCCTGGGGATCTGTGGTAGTATCACCACAGTGAGAGCATCCATAATGTGGGGTTGGCATGGTGAGACATCTACACTAAAATATTCACACTGGTTAATTGTTTGACAGTTGCCTCCAATTACCTCATGCAACAGCCCACCTATGTTTGTCCCAGACTGAGCCCATTAGTATTTGCAGAGTCCAGATTAGCACATGTAAGCATATTAGCTTAGTTACTTGATAATTGGTAAACTTGAGTTTCAAAAATTCTTATTTTAAATCCAGAGCATCAGGATAAAGCATAGCACCCTAACTGTGCCCCTTGTATAGTTACTTGTACCTGTGTAAAGTGGGCACAAAATGCATCTCAGATCAAAATGAGTGTATCCGAAAACCATTCAGGTAGCACAGAGATGGATGATTGCACAAAATACAGGGCAGAAATAGAGGGTCAGGGAATTAGGTGGGAACAAACCTACATGGTGAAATTTTCAGGACAGAAAATGAGAAGTCAAGATCATGTATGCTGTGGTCTAAAAATAATGGATTCTTCAGGCAGCAGTTTCAGCAGGAGGCCCTGGTTCAGTTCATTAGTTTCTTCCATCAGACTGAATCACAAGTTAAGCTCCTCATGGTTGTGAAAAGACCCACATCTCCTGAGAGTGATTTTTACAGAATTTATATTAGCTGCCCTTATTAATTATGAGGGTTACAAAAGGCCTGATTATCAATTTTTCACCTCAAGTTGTCTCTGTGTCTTCTGCTCAGAGTTAGAATAGGAAAGATCTGTCTGGTAGGGCTGTGCAAAGCTTCAGGTGCTGATTTGATTTGGAGGAGATTCGGCCCAATTCAGTGGCCAAATCTCCAAATCGGAATTGAATCAGGAGACCAATTAAAAGGTCCAAAATGATTCTAAGCTCTCTGAATCAATTTGGAAAAGATTCTGAGAGCTTCGGTGATTCAGGCAGTCCCTGCTCGCTGCAGCAGGGAGCTGGACCTGGACTCTGTGCTGGTAAGTAGGAGGCGGGGAGGGAGAGCTGGAGGAGGTGGGAGGGGACTGTAGGGGGACCCCTGCCAGGCCCTATCCCCTGCCTGCTCCCTCAGCCCCTCTGAGCACCCCCGCCCCCTGCCCACTCTCCCAGCCCCACCCAACCCACCTGGCTGCCCTGCCCACTCCAGCTCCCAGCCCTTTAAAAAAATTTTTAAAAGCCTACACTCACCACCTGCTGCAGTGGCCTTGGGGCTTCTGGGGGCTTATGATAGAGCCCCCCCCACACAGCGGGGGGCAGTGGGGGGCAGCGGGGATCACGCCCGCCTGGCAGCAGCCAGTGAATGCGGGTTGTTTTTTGTTTGTTTTTTTAAGAGCCGGGAGCTGGGAGAGCAGGCAGGGAAGCCACTGAGAGAGGGCCTGGGATGGGGCCAATTCAGAGATTTGGACGATTCAGCTGCAGCCAGATCTCTAAATCAGATTCAGCTGAACTGATTCAGGACAGTGATTCGAATCACCAAATTGACTCACTGTCCCCCGAATCAGCCTAATCCCAATCTGAAGCGAATAGTAGCCACTTCACACAGGCCTACAGGCTGGTATCCCTCTGATTCCTTTCAGCTCCTGTGGAATTTGATTTGAAGCCTTTCATTTTGCTTGTGTTTGGTCGTCTTAGGGCAAGCTACTATCGCAAAGGTGGGAGAGCCATGCTGCCTGTCAAGTGGATGCCACCAGAGGCTTTCCTAGAAGGGATCTTCACCTCCAAGACTGATACATGGTGACAGTTATCTTTCAGTTACTTCTTTTGGGGCAGTGGTAGGGAATCCAGTGTTTATGGTGAACTGTCCAGTGGTTAGTAACTGGGGCCTTCTTGAAGGTTAAAGGTTAAAGCTTTAACATGCAAAAGGATATCTGTAACTGTGAATGTATGCTGGCTCTGAGACAAAAAGCTCAGAAGGTGGCTCAAAGCAGGCTAAGTAGTTCTGCTGAGAAACAGAATATAGGAGCCTAACTGGAATGCTTATTGAACTTGGCCATACTTTCAGTGTTTCTGGAGCTAGCGTGTGCAGAAGTAACACAGAGGATCCCTGTGTAGCACCATCTTGTGCTATGTAGATGTAAGCACATGTTTCCAAAGCCATAAGAACAGCACATTAAGAAATCTTCACCTTGACTTCAGTTAGAGTCTTGAGTGGAAATTGAAGAGTCTGGGCCTTTGAAACAAAATATCTAGAACTACACAGGCATCAACATAAAGAAGCCTATGGAAATAGGCAGAGCCACAGTGCAGCAGAGTTGGCTATGATTTACAGTGCCGGGGACAGCTGCAGGAGAGGGAAGATCGCTTGGGGGAAAGCAGACATTCCTGCTGTTCTTCAGCAGGCAGGGACACCATGAGATCCTGAATTAACACAGGCTATGTGGAATATATGCTCAGTCAACAAATGTGCTGGCCTGTTCTCATCTCTGTCCAGCTCAGCCTACTTTATGGGTTACTCCATCTGTCTCTGGCTATACAAACCCTGAAGAAACTTGGCACTAGTGCACTCTGTTGGCATTGGATTTATGACCCAGATACCTGGGCAGACTCAAACCCTCAGACTGATCACAACTTCTCCATTTGATAATAGGTTAATTTTACTGATACACAGTGATAGCAGATAAGAATAATGCAGGCAAGGCAAACAAAATAACACCCCCAGTTCTATATCTACCTGTCCTAAGGCTGTCACAGAGGTAAGGTACATCTGGCCAATACAGGAGCCCCACCCTGTGGTTCCTTCTTGAATGTCAGATGTCAGCAGCCTGGAGGTCAAGGGCCAAAGCCCACCCTCCTCCAGTGGGGTGGGTGAGATGGGCTGGTGGTGTGCCCTTTGTCCATGGTGGCTTTGGGTTCCCCCATCAGGGACCCTTTTCTGCTCTGCAAATCTCTCCTTTTGTATTCTTTTTCTCCTCTGATGACTCTTCATTCCCAGGCATCGTTGATTGATTCCCCTGTGGTCATTATACTATCTGAGTTCTATCCTGTCAGCATATTCCTTTTTTCCAACAAAACCATCACATGCACACATATCTTAATTTGGGCATTTACCGGTCTCTTAATTTGGTCCGTCCACCAAAACTGGAAATCCCAAGAGCTCTGCAGTTGGGCATTGGGACCTGGCATCTGGTACCCTGTTATGTTATGGAACAGTGTGGTACATATCTTCAGTTTCCCCATCTCTGTATCTGCTGGCTTCAGACTCAGTGGGCCTTAAAGGAAGCTTTGTCACAAACAGGCTTTTTGAAACCAGTTAACTCTTGCCATTCAACCTGGACCATTATTCTAATGCATATCAAATCTACCTACTAGCCAGTTCCCAAAGCAAACCTCTAAATATCATTTTCTAGCCATTACATTCCTGTTCCCATAGGAGTTTCCATCACTAAAGCCTGCAACCTGTAGAAGGAAGCAAGTGAACCCAGTGTTTCTCTTGGCCTTACAATGCCCTCACACTATGCTAACATACCAATAAGGATATGTGTCCAGTTTATAAACACCGGCAGCAAAGTGTGGTAAGGGAAGGCTATTTAAACTCCTTCTATCAAAGCCTATTTAAAAAATCCAGGTAAGTAAGGTCCAGTCATATGCTTTTAGCTCCTCACCCCCAATATTTGCCACTCAGCTTCCATTGCTGGCAAAACTGCCTAGCTGTTTCTATCTCCCTAACCAGATAGGATTATGCCTTTGTATGATTTTACTTCTGAGAAACTGAAATCTAAATTGACACTGGACTTCAGCAGAAGCTCTAGGTAGTTGCTGAGGAAACGGTATTTATATAGCTGCCTTAAATAAGCACCTCCAGCAGTACAGCATTTCTGAAAATGTGCTGGGAAATGGAAGGTTTCCAGTCTGTTCAGAACTGCGTCTCCATCAGCACGGTATTTTCTTAAGCTGTGGCACTGCAGTGTCCTCAGTGCCACACTGATCTGGTTCCCTGAGGGCTGTATTTGTATAGAGGCACCTGGGTTTCCAAAAGGTTAGGAATGGCCTTTATGTCCTGTTAGTGCTCAGTCCCAGAAACTTCAAAGGAAGATGTCATAAATCATGTAGTTTGCAACTATAGTTAACCTGTGTACTGGATATTTCTTCTAGCCTTCCATCAAACAGTGGTTGGTGAAATTCTGCCTCTATTGAAGTCAGTGACAGTGAACACTCCATTCAGTTCCAGAGGTCAGAATGTCACTGCTTGTTTTAATGATCCTCTGTGGCAGCAGCGTACCTAGATTAATTGTGTTGCATTAAAAAAAAAAACCCTATTTCCAATTTTAAATTCATTACCTTTCTGTTTCACTGGATGTCTCCTTGTTCTTTAATCATGAGCGCTCACCTCTCTGACTATTTACAGAAAAGTATCAAGTCTGCGGAAGTAAGCAGAAAATATATTGAGATTATTTTTATACTTTGTGCTGCCAGTCAAGTGAGACATACCAGAGCATCAACTTCCAGGTCCACATCCAGGTCCTACCACACCCAACAAATGGAGATGTAATCATTAAAATTGTTATTCAGGCATTTTGGAATCTCCACAAAATTGCTTTTGAAGTTTGATTTTTATTCATACTGACCATCCATCCCCACAGCTGACCAGGAGTTGTGGCAGGCTGCAGCTTTAGCACTAACCTGAAGTTCTAAAAACAGCCAGGTACAAACCAAGCCTGTTGGTCATTGTTGTTTGATTTCCATGGCAGGTCTTTTGGTGTGCTTCTGTGGGAGATCTTTTCATTGGGCTATATGCCATACCCTTGCAAAACCAATCAAGAAGTGCTGGAATTTGTTACTAGTGGAGGAAGAATGGATCCACCAAAAAACTGCCCAGGACCAGTGTGAGTATCTCCTCACTCTTGAACTTGACCCAAAATGTAATAAGTATACAAAGCAGCTAGACACAGATGACTTGTCCTTCCTCCCTGGCATGAAATACTTCACTCACCCTGATGTTTCCTTAAAGGTGAACATAGTTTTAAGATGAGAATACCACCTGCTGGCAATCTCAGCAGAGGCATAGGGTTTGTTGAGAATAGGAGATGTAGCTACAGTACATATTGCCCCAGAGGGTGTAGAACAGGGTCTGGCAAAGAGTACAGTTACTTATATTGCTAATTTGATGATGTGTTTTGATCTATGAATAAAATGATGAAGTCAGTGTCTAGGGCTGGTAACCTGGTAGCTTTCATCACCAACAAATTGACCTAAAATTCCACATACAGGACCCAGCTCTGAGATCTTTGTGCTGTCCACCCACAGAGGTTTTCCTCAATGTAGGGAGTTCACAGCTGGCTGGAGAGCCTTTACTTACTCTGTCAGCCGAGAGAGCACCTGAAGACTGTGGTTGAAGAAAGCAAGCACAGTTGAATTGCTGAAGCACTCAGACAGTTCCTCAGCTATCAAAACATCTCCTAGGAACTATTGACAGCTGGGCACAAAGTGGAGCAGAACTAAGGTTACTTCAAATAGTAACTCCAAAGAATTACTCATACTCATATGAAATGACATGCAGCCAACCTCCCCCACCTCCTTAAGTCCTACATAGAATGCAGCTCATCTGGACCCAATATCTTGTCCTATAGACAAGTGAAGTCCTGTTGATTTGTGTTTTAATTGATTTGTATGTTTTCTTTTTACTTTACTGACAAACCAATTGCATCTTTCCTTTCCAAGCTACCGGATCATGACGCAGTGTTGGCAGCACAGCCCAGAGTACCGGCCCAACTTCTCCACTATTCTGGAAAGAATCAAGTACTGCACACAGGTATTGTACTGCTCTTCAGGATTCCAGTTGTTACTGGCTGACAGACTCTAGACCAGCCTGTGAAATGGCATTACTGCCTCAAACAACAGGACATATGATAAATTATCTACTTATTTTCCCCCAAAATCCACCCAAGTCTTTTCATTCTTGTTTCCAGGGAGCTATCTCGGGCTCACCCATCTGACCTATCCAGGGTGCATGCTTCTCCATGAATTAGACTGCCCTTTCCATATAAAATGCCTGCTTCCACCTCTCATCTTATTCAGTAGGGAAACATCCTTGATTTTATTACAGGAGAGTATTCAGAGCCCATCACACTTTCCAAGATCCGTATTTCACCCTTCACTACTTATTTGCAGTCCTCCTGGAAAGCAACAACTGAATTGATATGGAGATGGGGGAGGGGATTACAACTGCTAGAATTTCACTGCTGGACTCTTGGACCACATCTGGTTTCAAGACGGACAAGGAAATTATTATAATTTGGTGTGACCTCAGTCTAATCCAGTGATTTTTCAACCAGGGTACCATGAAATCTTTTCAAGGGTGTTACAGGGTGCTATGCAATATTAGCACTATTAAGCACACAAACACCTACACATGATTCACAAAATAAACCCAGGCATTTCAAATAGGAATCCATAGTTCCAAAACCATTCTGACCTGTTGTAGTCTTTCTGAGTTCTTTGCAAGAGAAGAATTGCTCTATTATTTTTCCATTTTCAGTGAAATTTAAGAGCTGGCATTTTCTGAGGGGTGCCTTGATTCTAAGAAGTTTGAGAATCAGTGGTCTAGTCTTTGACCTTGATAAGATACCATAAAATGAGCAGCCTATGCTCAAAAGCCCCAAAGTGAAATGCGTGTATTGCAAGTCGTAATGACTAGCACTGTCCAAATAATGCGTGGCAGCATGTGCAATGCGTGACAGTATTATATAAACCTGGTGTTTGTCACTGTTGACAGACTTTCATTTTCCAAATGCTTTTCTGAAAATGTGCATGGGAAAAGTCACAGCTGGACACACTCAGGGTGCTCACAGAATCCTTTCTGTTTCAGGATCCTGACGTAATCAATACTGAGTTGCCCATTGAATGTGGGCCAGCTCCAGAAGATGAGGGAAGCACAGTGATACGCCCAAACACTTCCAGTGGGATGGTTCCCTTGATGGTGAGCCCTTCCCTGAGCCCTCAAACGGCTCTCAGAATGTTAGAAGCCCATCAGGCAGGGCATAAACTTGGACAGTGTCCGCAGGAACTGGTGGTAGAGAATTTGGGCAACTGGACTGTCAGAGGACCCAGCCTGCCATGTCTCTCTGATTCCAATAGCAGCGGGTCCTGGTTCCAACAGACTTCAAATCACAGACTGAAGAACAAAACGAAAAACCTTTGGAACCCAACATATGGTTCCTGGATGTTGGAGAATATCTGCCATTCCAGCCCTAACTCCAAGCTCAAAGTGGCCACAGAACGAGAAGACTCAGGCTTTGATGGGAATTGCAGCTCTTCCCCTAGTTCTCGGGAATCTCCAGCATCTCCAAGCCGGAGACATGGTCTTCATGTGGACGTCAGTGGGATCGAATTGGTGAAGCTGCAGACTTTCCCATGTGGTAATGTGAATTACGCATATGATGACTTCTGCTACAACACTGATCAGGCTTCCTCTTTGGCAACAGACAGGGCACCAGTACTGAGGAGCACCAGTCTGCGAAGGGATGAGAAGCCTTTTTTTAAGCCAGAAAAAACATCACGAGAGAGGGACTCTGGCCTCTCCTTATCAGATGACCTGAGCGTTACACCTGTATAACAGGAGATGCTTTTCCAAAGATCAGGGAGGGAGTTTACTATGTCTGCAAAGGCAAACTTGAAATTCCACTCTGTTTGCCTGTTTTCTCCATTCAAGTTCTTGCAGAGGTGATCTTTTAACCACACTAGTATCCCACTTCCTGCTCCTCCTGGCTGGATTCCCAATTCACTGAAGACAATTGCTTTCCTATCTCTGTTTCTGTCTCTGTCCGTCAAACGTGTTCCCTCTTCCTGAACCAGTGCCACTGTTTGACTGTAAATAGAGATGGCATTTCCTGCACTGATTCAGAATCCAGTGGTTCATGAAAAGAGTTGCTCTCAATCTGCTCAGGTGAAAAAAAAATGGACCTACCATCCAGTTGTTAGTCAGCCGGAAACGGTAAACAACATAGCCACTTTTCTGATCTAACGTACCAAAAAAAAAAATCCCATGCTGTGGGGTAGCATCAGTTGCCTTGCAAAGGCTGCCATATTCCCGAGAGTTTTGCACATTTCTGCTGACTCACTAATGAGGCGGGTGCACTGACAGAGAAGTAAACAAAAAGGAGCCACATTTGGACCCATTTTCTTGGCAGGGATGTCGGAAAAACAGTAAAATAAAACCAGTGTTTGCACAGATCAAAACAAAAGCAGGAGGGAGGGTCAGTTATTATGTCCGACTCCTCTGAGAACGTGTTTTTTTTTTTTTAAAAGCAAACAAGGAAGGAGAAAACCAATTAAGTACTTTAAAACATAGTTACTGGTGTTGATGGCATCCGTTTGATGACTGAAGAAAACTTGCTTCTTACCTCAGGGTGTAGCTCACCTCAGTTTCTGACCCTGGAGATTTGGGAAGACTTCTGATTAAGGTCCAGCTGTGCTGCATGCTGAAAACTGGACTTTCCCTTTCTTTTAACAGACTCCACTTGGGATGAACTTTATTTAAAAAATACTCTAGCATTCAGCAGTGTATTTACCTAAACTGCAATGGTAAACTTTAAGATGAAGATTGAGAATTATTACTGTAGAATGCCAAGTTCTGGGTCATGTTGGTGTTGTTTTTTAATATATAATATGGAAAAATCCTCTGAAGCAGACATACTTGAGGCAAGTTATGCATCTTGATTGGAAGCCAGCAAGAAGTATTTTATTTTAACATAGTTCTCAAAATGCCCTTATAATAATGAGCGTGATTAACTCAGCCATCTGGAATGTCCCAGCCGTGGAGGCACCTGTTTCTTTTTGTGGGGAGTGCTAAGAAGACTCTTGTTTCTTCGTGACCTCTTATTTGTACTGTCTTGGAAATTCAGGAGCTGGATTGTTATTCTGGAAGAATTGTTATTTACAAAGTTTTCTGCTGTAGTTTGCTGATTAAGCTGCTATTTCCTGGTTAAAGCCTACCAAACAAAGATTGAAATGGTAAAGACAGAATGGGGGTCTAAGCCTACACTGTATCAGAAAAGCATGGTCTTGGTTCTATTTCTGAATGCCTCGCTGCCAGTGGCTGGGTAACAAATGGGATAGTAGCAGTGTGGAGAGAGGGAAAAACCTTACTAGCCTGTGGAACCTGGTGGAAATGCAGCTCCTTAAATGTGAAAGTAGAGACTCAAGGGTACATGGCTGGTTCAGAGTATCGACTCCCCATGCACAGATAACCAAAATGTGAATACCCTGCAATTTTTGCATTTGACTTCACCTTTGTTTCCTCACTGACTCAAGAAGGGCTGTGGCAGTTTCATTCACTGTATCAAGGGTCACCTCATGCGTCATATATACACATATGTATACACACTTCAGCATGACTGGCAGTCTCCTCTCAGAAGATGATTAACTTTAAGCACAGACTCCATTGCCTCTGCATCAGTTAAAGATGATCACTACAGAGCTGTGGCACAGAGAAGCACAGCACTGAAAAGAAAAACCATCTCACAGCAGCACTGTATGACCCCAGCTCAGGATGAAGGCCTGGCTGTAGCTAGTCTTAGCTTCCTTTATTTTGGGGATTTTTGGCTACTGAAGAGAGAGTCATTGCAAATGCCATCAGTACTACATCCCAGTGCTGGTGCTGGATCTACTCCCACAATGACTTTGTGCTGAGAAAAACCACATGCACAACATAAAATGTGCATGAACGCCCACAAATAATACACCATATTTTATGACCCTTTATGTGACTTAAAGGCATATAAGGACACAGGGTCTTCCCCAGGTGTGTAGGACTGTCTTAAGAGAGAGGCTGGGGGATGCAGGTGGGTAAGTGAAATCTAATAACCTTTGTTCAACAGGGACCTTGTTTCTGTCCATGACCTTCCCACTCTTCCTATCTGAGGTCTTTAGGCCTGTTTATTTACTCATTTTAGTCTTCCAGCTTTGATGGGTGTATCATAGCCAGGCATGGGGTAATCTCACTTCTCTTAGATCTTGTCAGTGCAAGTCTCTACTTGATCAGCTGGGTCACCTTCTCCCAAAGGATAACCATAGTGTTTTGCACCGTGCTTCTAGCATTACATGGCCAGCTCTATCATATGCCAGTGAGAAAAAAACTATCACTCAGTCATAACCAACTTGAACCTGTATACCTTGGGCTCCTATACACATGCAGGGAGGCTGCTCTGACAAGCTGTAATTACCATGCTCGAGCACAGGGACGGGCAGTTATTTCAGGAGAAGGGCCGCTTACTGAGTTTTGGCAAGCCATCAAGGGCTGCATGACAGGTAGCCAGGGGCACATAAATATTAATTTTCTAAATTTTGGGGAGGCCCCGCAGGCTGGATAGAATGGCCTGGTGGGCCGCATCTGGCCTGCGGGCTGCATTTTGCCCACCCCTGCTCTAGCATCACTTGCATCAGCATCTCTGTGCTGAAAAAGAGCAGTAGGTTGCTTTAAACTAAAGCTCGTTTGATGAGCTCTCAGGGCTGCGCTAAGTAAAGTGCCCCTCCTCCACCCCCCAGCACATCTATAAGTGCCCTTTGATTGCACCTGTCCCTACCCCTGCCAGGAGATGGAATGTCTCTGTACTTCCTTCAGCTGTTTTTATATTTCAGGAGACCTTGTTTCCCCAGAGATAAGGTATCAAAAAATCCCATAATCTGCCACCATTAACAGTAGTGACCTGGCCCTTTCTTCTTCTGCAGCCGCCTCACTGCAGGGGTGAAGGTGCATCTAGTAGAGTACAGAGTTTTATTTTAGGTGCAATTCAGCTGTCATGGAAACTACTCAAGATAGACAAGCTGTCCCACATTATTGTGGCGTTGTATAACTGACTTGCTAGTGTGCCCATTGCATGCCCTCCCCAATTAATTCATTTTAATCACTTACCTGGGAGGAAAGAACCTGGTAGAGCACCCTCCTTTATTATACTTGGATCAAGCCAGTTCCTGGTCCACTACACTCTTTCATGAGACCCAGATTAACCCATACTTTTATAAATGGAACTAGTGATAAAAACAGATTCGAGGTTGGGATGTGAGGTAGGAATAAGCCCATTATGTGACAGTATCACAGTCAACATTTTTCAAGCACCCATCACCATAGATACTAGTATCCAAATGCAAAAACTTCACTCTCCACTTTTCCTTCTTGGGTAAAAACTGTCTTCATGTGTGTGATGGGTTCCGGAGGGTTACTGTCAGGAGCAAGCGAGACCCTAGATCTGCACATATTGAGTATTTACTAACAACAAAAGCTTCTGCTTTAGCACCATAAGACCATTAAGTTTGTAATGGGACATATGCTCCTAAATCATTTAGATCAGTGGTCCCCAAGCTTTGTAGACTAATGGACTATCAGCCCTTAATATTTCTTGCAGACCACCATGCATCCTTATCATCAAATATTTAATGGACACGGCGCGGAGTGCACTCTCCAGACCTGGTGCAAGCTACTTTACCAGGGCCTCATAGACGCCAGGGTTTGCTGACTACAGTTTGAGAATGACTGACTTTTGAAAAATCCCACTGTTATGTATGAAGACAGAGAGGAATCTCTCCAAAGGATAGGCATGTTAACAATATCCCTATGATGATACTGAAGTTGTACATGTAGTCTGAAAGCTGGCCATACAGCTAATGAAAAAATAACCATGCCATTAACTTACACCACATCCTTCCTTTCCCAACAGATTTATAGATCTTGTTTTACAAAGCTTCAGTTTGGAGAGAGAATTCTGATCAGTAGTGACTGAACAAACCCATATTGGCTGCATTATGCTAGATTTGCTTGGCAGTTTAAAGCCAAAACCAATTTAATTTTGTAGAGGAACAAACACAGAGTCCTGGGGGTTGGTTTAGACCCTTTTCCACAAAGCGTTTTCCAGCACCAACTGGCGATGGAGATTCAGCTGCTCATAGGAATGCTATAGTGGAGCGATTCTCAACCAGAGTGCCACGGCAACCCAGCGTGCCTTGAGAGCCTTTCAATGGTACCACAGGGTGCCACACAAAAGAAGCAGTTAGGTGTGCAATTATGATTCACAAGCTAAAGCCAGAAATTTCAAATCCACAGTGTTAAAAACATTTTGACCTGCTGTGGTCTTTCTGTGCTCTTTGTAAAAGGAGAATTGTTCTATTATATTTCTGTAGTCAAAAACTGAGTGAAAACTAAGAGCTGAAATTTTCTGAGGCATGCTTTGAGTCTAAAAAGTTCAAGACCCACTGCTATAGTGTGCTCTCCTAAATGGGTTTCTAAATCTGTGTTCAGCTTTGACATTTAACACAGCTTAAGCCAGCAATTTATTTTTTAATAGATGTGTGTGTGTGGGTATGTATATAACTAATTTTCTCTGATAGAATCCCTACTTGCTCTGCATTGATTAATAATGTTGCTTTGTAGAGCCTTACAGTTACAAAGTCACCTCTGTAAAATGTAACACACAGAGACCAAAAAAATAAGGTGGAGTGTAATTTGCCATCTTTTTGTAATTTTCTGCCCCTCTCTGCTTCCTTCTCTCACATTTCTTTATTCTCTTTCCTGCATATATCTTTCCCTTCCTTTACTCGTCCCCTTCTTCCTTCTCTCTGTATAGAACTTGGATCTTCAAGTCACACCTAATACAGATGCAGTTAAAATGCCTCTGATTTAAGATATCCTTCTCATTTCCACCATCAGAATTCTGTCCTGAGGTAGGTTTCTTTCTTGCTCTGGGTTTCCACTTTTCACCAGGTCTCTACCTGGAGTCCTCAAATGGTAGTTATACTATAGTAGCATAGCACTTACAGTGCGTATGCACTTTCTACCAGCAAAATTGTCCTTTTGGAAGTATAGCTTATCCCATTACCTCTACTATCACGTCCTTCACTTTCCACAGCCTTAGCAAAATAAGCTGCACTGGTAAGTGTAGTTTTTTTCAAATATAATTGCATCTATACAGATGTGTCGATCAGGGATCACACCACCTCACATCCGACTGGTCCAGCTGTGCCAGCAAAAGGTTCTCAAGTGAACCTGGCCTCCAAACTGCATTTCTCTTTCTGATATGTAGAAACACTAGACTCCACCCTCGTTACAGGTGACCCCACCATCATTGTAGAGCCTCTTCACTTTGTATTTAACTGAATTGCTTTTATTTTGTTGTTACTTCTCAGAATGGCAACACAGCTTGCCAACCTGCCCTTCAGGTCACTGTAAATAAGTAGTTGATAACAAGCCTGCTTCTATGCAAATTTCAAAATGGATAAATGTATACTTCTATATTTGCAACACAA